CCACAAAGCTCCTGTGAATGCTCTGAAAACAGGTGAATAGTCTTGTCAATTTTGATTAGGCTTGGTGGATCGATCCAAATATCATGTGATCTTAACCTCTTTAAATCTTCTAGGATTGTGCCACAATTAAGTGAATAAATAAGACTTCAGTTTCCCTCTCTCTTCACAGGACAACACTTCTGCCCCTACTGCTGTGGCAACCAGTGAATCGGGCATACCAGTGGACCGGGGCACTCAGACATCCTCCTATGCTCCTCATGGTTCCATGCACTTTCCCCCACAGGGTCTATCCCAAACACCAGGAGCAGAGACCCAGACCCACTTGTTCAGTCACCTGCCCCTGCACTCCCAGCAGCCTTCTCGCTCCTCTTACAGCATGGTACCAGTTGGGGGGATCCAGCTGGTGCCTGCTGGCCTGGCAGCTTACTCCACCTTTGTACCAATCCAGGCTGGACCCGTCCAGCTGACCATCCCAGCAGTGAGCGTCATTCACAGAAACTCAAGTCCATTACCAGCTCCCAACACTCCACCCCAACCAGAGGGCTTGCAAACACAGCCACTTGTGGTCCAGGAACCAATCAGTAGTGTTGTGCCCTGCTTCCCCCTAGGGCAGGTCACTGGTCTGCAGGCTCAAACAATACAGCCAGTAGGTCTGGAGACACTTAACCTCATGGGACTGACCAACACAGGCCTGGCATCCACCCAGCTGCTGAACCAGCAAGGGCTCACTCTCAATGCCACCCTCGGGCTTCAGGTTTTGGCTGCCAACCCCACCTCCCAAAGCAACACTGGCCCCCAGACACATGTTCCAGGTCTGCAGATAGTTAACATCGCCCTGCCTGCTATCATTCCTTCTCTCAGCCCTCTATCCACCCTTAGTCCTCTCCCTGGTTCCTCAGAGAGGCAGGGGAGCCCTGAAGCTCAAGGAGCACAGCCGTCTCAAAATGAACATGGGCTCGTTTCTTTACGGAGCTGCATGTCCGCTTCACCGACCGCCCCTTTCAAGGTCAGCAGCTCTCCAGGACTGACCTCGGGCAGCAGGGCTAGTCCCAGAGGTAGCAGTGGATCTGAGTTCACACAGACTGTTGAGAGGGAAGAAAGAAATAGATCACCAGCTCCTGAGAACCGAGCAGACGGTGCTAAGGAGTCACTAGCTGAGGGAGCTTGTGATCCAGCACATCCAATACCACCGCCAGTGACCAGCTGGCAGAAGGAAATTGATGACTATAATGAGGTATCCAGTGATGATGAAGACAGACTGGTCATTGCCACCTGAAAACCCCAAGCGGAAAGCTCTTCTTGTTCTCTTTTTGTAATTCTTGTCACTTTGTAAGACTGAAAACACTTTTCAGGGGTTTGTTTCTTTGCAAATCACCTTTCAAAGCACAGATGCTGACATTCATATTGTATGTGCAATCACATGATAATTATAATGATGACCAATCATTTTATTTTTATCTTTTTTCGTCAGCTCCAGACAATTTCTTTTTTTTTGTACATGTTGTATAGACAATTGTGCCTTTATGGAGTTTCTTGTTTAGGAACCTGTACATAATTCCTTATAAATTCAGTAGTTGCTTGTTGTTTATTTCAAAAAATAAAAGTAAAGAGAGGCATAACAATGGAGGATATCAGTTTTATTTTGGAGGGTTTGTCATTCGTAAATTTATGGAATTATTAATGTTGTACTGGTAAATGTACATTACTATGGATTATGGGGCAATGTTTCTGTGTACAGATGTTGTGTTCAACTATTTATTATAATCCATCTAGTGCCCATTATGATTCATAAGTCCATAGGTATGTGCATTATGGTAGCTTTACATTGCTGTATCAATATTCTTAACTGTATAAGTAAAAATTTGTTTACAAACATTAAAAGTGGTGTCACTGCATTTTGTCAGTTAAACACTAGAAACTATTGTCACTACATATTTTAAGGTGGACTAGACGTCGATTACAGATGGCAGATATTAAAACGGTATGTTTATTATCTATTATGCTGGTTCTTATGTCACATTTAGTATTATAGGTAGCACATTTTCAATATGAAAACATTATAATTTGACCTGCAACAATTTTGATATTTGATTAATAATTCTACCAATTTTTTAAGTAAAAATTACAAAATTTCACTGGTTTCAGCCCCTGAAATGTAAATTCCCCCCACCCCCTTTGATAATAAGCATAACATTTTAGGTATTGGTTGGATAAATCAAGACATTTGCATTGTCTCTGGTAAACTGTGGTGGGCATTTTTTCTTTTTAATTTGCAGACATTTTACAGACAAACGATCAGTAATTGAGAAAATACTTTGCAGATGAATCATTGATGAAAATAATTGTTTGTTGCAGCCATAACTAGAATAAAACATAAAAAATAAAGGATTTCAAATTAAATAGCTATAATTAACATGGCAGTGTCATTAATGGCTAGTACGTCCAAGCAACCCCACCTCAGTGTAAAAAAAATTTATCAAGTTACAATCATTTGGGTAACATCTGTGTGCAATTTTTAAATAAATCACAAGTTACTCTCCAGCAAATAAGATATTCATAGATAATATTTGATCACCCTCCGTTTCAAATGGTAAAACCTCAAACTCCTTTATGATTACATTAAGCAGTGTTATTAGTGCTTCAGCAGTGAAGCTCTGCTTTCTAACCTTACTATGGACCAGAGGGAGGAATTGCAATATCACTGCTTTGTTTTATCTGATGACAAAATAATGTAAGAAATCCATGCCTTCATTTTCATGACAGTAAAACAATTCAACTTCCCTCAACATCTATAAAGGGTGACCAGATTAGATCACTTTATTAAAAATAACTAGTTGCCAATCAAATGAGTGGCAATGGATTAATACATTATTATACTTGTTTTATTTTACACCAACAGGAAGAGTAATAGTAAAGAGCTATTAGATGACCAGAACCAAACATAGCAATCTGGCCTCAAAGAGGGAAACTTGTCTCTCATCTCAAGAGGCTTTACAGTGATAACCTCCTTGTTCCACCCCATTCAGAAGGTGACTAATCCATCTACATTAACAGACCCCATCATCCTACCCTCTCCACCCACAGGGCTGACTGAATCCTGAGGGGGAAGCTTTAGCAAAGCAAACAGAGACCCCTAGAGGTCATTTTCTACTAGTACAGAGAAAACAAAATGCAGGCTGATGAAGCGAAGAGCACACTTGATCGACAACTCCAGCGTGGTCAGAACAACATCACAGCAGCAACATGGCTCAACTGGCTAAACTTGAGTGTCCAAATTTGAACCGAAGCCGTCTCCAATGCTACTTTACTGGGTTGTTTCTGTTCTGAATGAAGAAATATGCACACAAGCAGTTCCCATGGCCAGTGGAAACTCTTAACACCAGTTTCTGATTAGGGGCCTCAGAGCTACAGCATGTCAGGATACTTTACCTAAGACTTTTCCACTTTGAGCGTACACACACACACACGGCCAATTTTCCACCGCTGCCCACAGCAGAGTGTCTCTGAATATGTAATTTAGGGAAATTAAGTACTCCTTGGTTTCCACATTTTATTGCAATTGGTGGTGGAGGGAAACCATTAGATTAACAGCCACTTTGGAGCTTGTTTGTACTTTCGGTAATGATTAATCAATTAATAAAACACTGCAGTTGTGGAGCACAGATACAGGACCAACAGGGCCGTATATTCATTGCAAAGGGATGATGTTATATATAAGGTGTATTACATTTTTTATTCCCGTCCTACAGTCCAGATCATGCAAAGAGCAAAATCCCCTTCTGCCGGACAACTTCTCAGTCTGCAGCAGTGTATGTGCACAGATAGGACTGGTTCTAAACATTCAAACTTCAATATGTGACAAGCTGCTTTAGACTGGGTTAAAATATCTAACTAGAAATAATGTAATTGTTGTAATTAAGAGGATTTACAAAGTACACTTTTTGTTCTATTTTCACTTCACTTTAGTAGATTAGTTCACATTTGACTTAGATATTTCAGTATGGTACTCAAGAATAACAAAAGATGTTGTGATGTTTCCGTTTGATTTGAACCCCCTTTTTAAAAGCACATAAGTAAATCTATCTGTGAGAAAGCTTTATAAAGAAAACTTTGGACTGCATCTCTAAATTTAAGAATGATAGTGGACTTTTGAAATATTTACAATCAGGATGTCACTATGGCCCTGGTACTCAGAGTACTCTTCAAAAAGGGTGTGTTGTCTTACATAAAGAAAGGACAATTTAGTACTGGGCACTATAACTGTCAACACATGCATAGCTATCTACAGTCTAATATGGTCCTTGGTTTTAGTCCTGTCTCTATTGTCATATTGTGTTTTATTTTTAATTTATGGCATTTATTTGCATTTTATTTCTTACCTAACCTCCGCCTTGATGTCATTTGTGATTTGGAATCAAGGGATTTGACGCCTCTGGCAAAATTCTATTGTAAACCTTACAGTAAATGATTCCTTTGTGAAACTGTCTCTGTTCTTTGTTTATTGTTGCCTTATTGTTATCTGTTGTTTAGTATTGTTTTATCTTTTGTGTGGTTTTGTCTGCTACTTTTTATGCTGCCGCCATGTCCAGGTCTTCCCTGCAAAAGAGGTTTCCAAACTAAATAGGACTCATCTGGTTAAATACAAAAAACATAATGTGACTTTACTGCTTTAACACTTCAGTTTGTCATTGTGATCAACAAAGCACTCTCTCTAACTATCTATTTTTACTTAAGTAGTTTTTAGCAACAAAAAAAGTGATTTCACTTAAACTTGAGTAATATTTAAGTCAAGTAGGAACACTTCATATCTATACTTTTCTACACTTTATAACCTACTTTCATATGCAATGGTCTCCATACAAAGGGGGGAATTAATCCTGTTGCTTGACTGCCACCTGTTGTCTCAGAAGTGCATCTGCAACTCATCCACAGAGTCAAACAAGAGAGTGGTAGGCTACAGGTCGCATTCAATCACCTGGCGTCTCCCCCATCCACTTAATCAAAACCAGGACATCTCAAAGTCTTCAACTTGGCCTGCACAACTGCTTATCAGCGACCGACTACTAACAAACATCACTGTTTGTGTACACGCCAAAAGACCAAACTGTTCGGCTGTGCAAGAGAAGGAGGGGGAGGTGGGACGCACATCTATAAAGTCATCGGGCTGCACATATGGGGCCACATTAACAGAGAGACTCCAGACTGACGGCTCCTGCGTGAATCTCCGAGGACGATCACCGAAACACTTTGCGAAGGAGTGATACACTGGATGAATAATTTTTACACTTCTGGAGGATTATTCATTTTCTTAAGCTGCATTTTGTTTTTAGAAGAAGAGGCTGGATAATGGATGTATACATTTTGATTTCCGCGTTATCAGTGATGTACTCCTGGATTTTGTGCACAGGTAGGCCAACTTTTGACGACAAATTTTAACTATTTAACAAGTGTATCTACACTAACTTTGGGTACATAATATAAGTCATATTTGAAATACTTAGATAATTTAACAGTTACATTTGTAATCATGTCTGCAAGGTAGCAGAGGAAAATCTTGTTTCAATTACGCTGGTAACACGTTTGTTGTTTGCATCTTCCTGACTTGTAACATTAGGTGAATAGTCTATATGTGTTTATATGAGTGTTTTAATAACGATTATTTAATTGCAGTGCTATCAGCGCCTTCTGGAGAGACACCTACTGACTCCCCCGCCACCCAGGGGCGCCATGTGCGGACCAAACGCTGCTCCTGCGCCACTTTCCTGGACAAGGAGTGCGTCTACTTCTGCCACCTGGACATCATATGGGTCAACACGCCTGAGTAAGTCAGCAAATAGCCTGACTTTAGACTCTCTTTTAGCAGATTCCATTTTCTCCAGCAGTCCTATAGAGAATAAGACATTTTAATTTTGGCAAGTAGGCTGTCAACTGTTACGAAACAGAGACAACAATGTGACGAACGAGTAACAAACCGTAACGAAGCTAACGACTTTGTGTCGTTTTCTGTTAGCCTGTAGCAAGTGTAACTGAAAATAAAGCACAGTTTGCCTACCGTATCAATCTTTGGTGCATTTCAACTTTTACCTTGTAAAGTTAAACAAGCTTACTTGATTAAACTTTAATTTTACCGCCAAACATTAACGCTTTCAACGCGAATTAGGTTGTAATATTTCAGCGGCCGTTTTGACCGTTAATTTCAGTTGTTTGATTCGAACTGTGTCACTGTTCCATCCAGGCGCGTGGTCTCTTACGGACTGGGCAACGCTCCCAGGACGAGGCGCGCGGTCGCAGAGTCCATTGCATCCAGCAGCGGACCTCGTTGCCAGTGTCTTCACGAGAACGACAACACCTGCAGAAACTTCTGCCGGCTTGAGAAACGCCCCAGGTAATGTAATGCGCACTTTATCATGACTTCCAGAACATCTTACGAATAGGCAATAACAGTTACAAGCCCAACATCGATCATATTTACTGTCAGTGACAGTAGCAAGGGTCTATCATTTGTGCATGTTTCCATCACATGTGAGAACAAGTTTCTTAAATGTCATGAATGTGTCAGATAAATTGGCTAATTGAAATGTGATCCCGCTCTCATGTAGTGCTTGTTTCCTTCTTCTCCTGGCAGGTATGAAACATCGCCAGACACGGTGATCCGCTCTGCCCAGGGCGATACTTGTGTTGGGGCTCAGTGCAAAAACAAGCTGGCAGCCGACACGGACAGGATTAAGAGGTAAGACAACCTGCTCAGACAAAAAGGGAGGATGAATACCACCACTGTCTATTTACAAAATAAATGGACATGGCAATTATAACCTCACGCAACACTGACATCTTTTGTAGGGAAAAATATCTCAGGGTTCAAAAGGTTTGCATGGGGAAAAACAGTTAGCACGTGTTTAAGAGGCAGGCATTTTGAGATTAAACCCTCAAGTAAGGAATTCCCTGTATATTATGATGACTGATCACCATAATAAATCCCATAACACCTCTAAGATTGGATGGAATTCACCTAAAGTAAGCTGCATCACTTAACTGTGAGAGTAATGTTGGTTACAGGAGCTCCTCTCCACCACAGCTGCACTCATGTACCATCATGTTTGAAACTCAAACCCTGGCAAAGTTTGCGGGTGCCATATGTCTGCACTTTCTGACACATTAAAAATAGGGAACTTAAATCTGCTCAAACCACTCGAAAGTGTGATCTGTGTGACACTGACAGCCCAAATCCACCCAGCTGAAGGTTTTACATAACGTGAGGGATCGATGGTTCAGGTGTCTGATTGCTTTCTGTTTCTCTCTGCAGGACGAAGAACAGAAACAAGAAACGGGTGTCACCTCTAGCAATCGTGACTGCCTTGAAAACCCGCCTGCTGCTCGAGAAGTGGATGGTGAGACAGCGTCACCGGGCGAGAGCATGGGAGGGCGAGAGCACGGCCTCCTAAAGACAACAGAAACTCCTCACCTTGTCATACAGAGGGGGAAAGGCTTTCATAACCATGGGCCCTTCTCTAAAGCAATCGGCCTGTGGGGGATCCCTGTGGAAGACAACGGAGAGCCCAAAAAAAGGCCGGCAAACACACTCCGTGGCTGCGGTGTCAGACGGTGTCTGCAGCAGAGCAGAGAGCAATTACGACTCGACTTGACTTGCACGTCATCAGAAAAGAGGAACGAGGTCAGAGACAAGACAGGGAGTTCAGGTGAAAGGAGATAAGCTGAACAGAGGACTTTGCCACCAGGTCTGCAACATCAAGGACATTCATTGAGCTTGTAGGTGTTCAGGGTCAAACTCAGTCACTGTGACTCCTTCGGACTCAAAAGCAACAACAAAAAAAACATGCATCTCAAAACATTACTGGAAGGATTTACTTTGAATCCCTCTTGTTACAGAAAATAAAAATCACTGCTGTATATGAATGAAGACAGTCCTACATATATTTCAAAATGCCATTATTTATCTCACTCACAGTTGCAAAAAAAAAAAAAAAAAAAAAAAAAAGACTATGGTGTCTGCATAGAAGGGATTTTTGTGCCTTGTGTCATTTTTTTTCCACTGACTGAAACTATTTACTGCATTGTATGTAACAGGTTGTCTTCTGTATGTGAGGACACCGGTCTTTGTAGCTCTGAAGTACAGTAGCTGCTGGGAGTTATTCATGTGGACATTATTACGGATTCCTTTACACTTATCATAATTTAATGTTTCACGAAATATGTTATGTATGTTGTTGCTTCTATTTATTTATTTTTTGTACACATTGTAATTTGTTCACCATATTGGTCTGTCACATGTTTGGTTTGTCATTTCTATGAAATGTTTTTGTCACCATGGTCCCAAATTTTGGGCACATTTAAATAAATGTGTACACGCTTATTTAAAAACAACTGCTCAGCTCTTTCATCCTTATCGTTTCATATTCAGTAGACGTGAGAAAAGCAGCGTTTAAGCTGGAGAAAGCTGATCTGCAATAGAGGAACTGCCAGGCTAAGACATCCAGATTCTTCTGTGAAGGTTAAGTTGTATAAACCAGAGGTTTAAACAAAAGCAGGTTTTTTAAGTTAGTAAATGAAAAACAAAAAGCCAAAGTGAAAGGGAACCGTGTGAGACAAAGTGTGAGAGGGATATAAGGAGAGAGACGGACTCAGATGTCGAAGACAACAAGGCAGCAAGCTTTAAAACCCAGCTAACCCTGCACTTTCATCTCTGTGCCAAACCAGAGTAAACACTGCAATTTCTAAATCAGCTGAAAGTGGATTTAAGGTTTCTTTCAGCAGCTTGGATTTCAGAGACACATCCAGCACATTTGTTTGTTTTCACCTCTGTAATGATCTCCTTTGTTTTAAGATATGTTTAGATACCTACCACCTTCCAGCCTGTTGTTCTCTCAACTACCTGCTCTGGCCTCTCCGCTCACCTCTGACGATTATTGCAGATAAGGACCATTATTTACAGCTGCTGTCCCTTAATCACTCTTTGCCACTTCTCCAGGCGCCTTGCATCTGTTTTTCTCCCCGATAGAAACCAAAAACACTTGTCTGTGAATATCTTTAATTCCATCTCTTCCATTTTGCTGCCGCCAAAAGAAAACCCTGTATCACAAAAATGCGAGCTTTGCAAGAACTAACAGAAGGGCAATCTTGAGATAATCAAATTAGTTTAAAAGTAGGTTTTAGGCCAGGATGAAGTACTTTCTCAGCCCATAGACGAACATAATCCAGTGAGCATGGATCCAGTGAGCATGGATGGAGACTTTCAGCTGTAAACTCATCTTTGGTCAATAAAAGTACATCGTTTTTTAAAAGTTATTTTTATCATCACAAGCACTTTTTCAAAGCTTTGCAAAGCACAGATTGAAGCAGCAATCTGTCAGATGAGTCTGATCTGTACATATGATGAATGTACATATGATGAATGTCATACAAGTTGTTGTTGGGTTCAGTTCAAACACTGGTGCACCTGGAACCCGCTCCCGTCACTCATCACAGAGCTGCATGAACTTGCAGCGGAGAACAATCCAATGCACATTGGTTGAAAAGTCTTATCTCTTCAACCCATTTGGCAAACAAATCCAAGGTGGATTATGGGCCTTGGGTTTATAAAAAGAAACGCTGTTGTATCCTCCTGCGTGCAGAGGCCATTCACAATAATACTGTCATATCTTCCAGAAAGACCTACTTTTTGTTTGCAAAACCACTTTAAGACGTCTGCCGCAGGAGCAATTCAGGACTGCAGATACAGTCGGAAGACAATAGAGAGAAAGTTCAGATGGCATGCAAGAAATGTGTTCAGCTAGATTTAATCCCATGATACAGGTGCAGTAAATGTTTGCAGCAAAACAACCCTCCTGTTAATGGAAGTAGATCTACTGATACTGTGCTCTCTTGGGATTGTAAAGGAAATTTTATCAAGTCAACAAGAAGCCAGCATAATGCCTGTTACATTAAGTTTTTTGTCCACAACATGTTATGTAACAAGAGAAGTTGAACAATAATAGTGATGCTTTCACATTTTAAAGGGGCTCCATTACAACACTTTTTTTTCTCTTTTTTTACATATACTTAACTCTCAGGTTTATGAATATGGTGCATGATGGAAAGGTGACGCGCAACATGTTTTAGACCAATACTAGTCTACTCATATTCTTTACTAAAGTTAAAGTGACAATGATACCGTGTAAAAATACTCCATTAAAAGGTAAACCTCTCTGGTCTACCGCTGCGGTTAGTTTGTGTTACTGTGTGACTTTGTGTTTTTAAGCCTTTAAAACACCAAGACACAAAAACTGCTGTTATTGTTACGGGAGTCTGGTGGCTTTGATGAGAGCGATATAGCTACTGTTTCTGGTTAAACACAAAGGATCTCACTCTTTAAAAATGGTCCGTCTCTGTAGGGATCCTTTCCATAATGTTGTTAGACACATGTACTAACAGTCCGAGCCTGTCAGTGGCAAAAACAAGCACTTTTAGTGGACTTACGTTGACGGTGTGCAATTGTGCGCAAGGATTACATTGCAGCCCTGTTTCACTGTAGCCGTCTGCAGCGCGCTCACTCAATCCTGGACCAGTTTAAAAAAATATTGTACCAATTAGTTACATTGACACAAAAACATAGGGAAATAGGGATGGGGTAGAAAAATACCTTAGCCTTTAACATATTTGAGTGATTGCACTTTCCTGTCATTATTTTTCTACCACACTTCTATAGAATTAGAAATCTATATCACTACAGCCCCTTCAACACACTAACCCCATAGCTTGTTATCAGATTGCCTTTATCAAAATGACTGATGCATGTTTGCTTAAATGAATAGGCTCTTTCACCCATATCTTTATAATCATTACATGCCATCTCCGTCATGAGGCAGCCGTAGCTTTATTAAGCATTCAATTCTATAGGAGAATTGCTAAAAGGAGACGCCTCCATGTACCTGCACACTGAAGAGGTTAACAGCATGCAGACGGGCCGGGGACCCAATACAATGGCTCTAACGCTCTAAACTATGCAGCTCTGTGCAAGGAACTCCCCTGAGACATTAGCTTTTGGCATAACTCATTAGTCTATTGAATAGAGCGCAAACATAATACCCCATTTCACAGCATGGAATCTCCTCGACTCGACAGGAATTCTCGAGCGCAACAGCTAAAACAATAGGACTCCGCGAGGAACGTCTGGGCAGGGAGGACTGGTCTTGAATTCTGACGTCAGACCAATGCCCAACCCTACCTCCATACGCCCTGTTTTCCACAGCACTACACTCCCAGCTGTGTGCCAAAGCATCTCACGAAACCCTGCCTTGACCAGAGGGAATTCATTACTGTGGATGAGTCAAACTCAGGATTTGACTGAAAAGGTCACCGGGAGACTGAGCAACAGGAAACCTATCAGGGAAAGAGGAGGAGGGGGGAAGATGCTGTCTGCGTTGCAGGAGAAAGTCAGACTGGAAACCTGAATGATTCTCCTCTGTGGTTGAATTTGATTTGTCATCACATCTGGGCGAGGGGATGACACACTTCTCAGAGAGCTGATTAAGGGAATATGTGCAGGTATCTCTCAGCACTTTGTCTGGCTGTAATCCTACTCTCGGTCCTACTCAACCCAGCTCTTGCCTCCCTCCCTGCAAGGAGCACAACAAATACCAAAAAGCATTAGAGGAATATCACTGAAAAATGCTTTGCTGACAGACATGAATGTGAGGATGAGTCTTGTCTGCAGTTACGCTTTGGCTCTTCCCTGGATTCATGCAACTTTACTGTAGTTTGAAATCAAAGAGAGTAGTGGCCCTGAAGGACCTTGCACATTTGGAGGGAATGCTCAGAATGCAAAGAATTATAAAACAAGTTTCAGGAACAGTTTGAACCGTGTTGTCCAAAATATACTCAAAGTCAGGGATGATGAAAAACACATACTCCATATATTCTAAATATTTTGGCACTTCAAGTAATTATTTGCATTTTTATTGTTTTTATTTATATGTGTTAGTCTTAAAGCATTCCAGATGGAGTAATTCAGCCTGTCGAACGTCCATCAATATCTGACGAGCAAAAGCCTGAGGGTTTGCTATCTAGAAGTACAGTTAGCCTCTGTGAAAGCTTTAAAAACAGCAGAATTAACTTCAAAGAGTCACACTGTCAGTTATTTTTAGTCATGGTAGCAGCGTCGCTCAAGGGCTGGAAATGTCAGACAGTCAGACAGTCAGTCAGTCAGTCACTTGAAAACGTCTCAACAACTACTGAATGGATTGCCACAGGATTTTGTGCAGACTTCTACACCGACATGAGGTTGACGTTTGTGGTTCACAGTTAAATATATTGACAACTACTCAGTGGATTTTCATTAGATTTTCTATTTATTCTAATGACTTTGGTGACTTTACCTTTAGCGCTACCAGCAGGTTAACCTTTTTAACTGTTACTGAAATATCTAGACAACTAGGATTGTTGACTTGGATGGATTTTTGTGAAATTTGGTACATACATTCACAATCCCCTCAGGCTCATCTAGCACCACCATCCAGTCAAAAATGAAATATGTCTAATATTTTGGTTTATGACCAAATAACCTGCTAGACTAAAAGCATTCCCATTGGCTCAGCTTTACTTTGTGATGATCGCTAATAAGCTAATGCTAGCACGCTAGCACGCTAACACAATTCAAAGCGGTGAACATGGTAAACACCACGCCCCCTAAACATGAACATGTAAGGCTATTCAGCTCAAAGCAGGCTGCAGGCTTGATTTTATATCGAATAAAACTGTAATCTTATTCGAATATTAATGTGCCACTGATACGAATGTCCATTTTTGGGCTTGAGGATCCTGACCCTATTTTTCTCACTGCTATAATTGTAAACAGTAAGTGCTGATTCATTGGACATTGAATAAACATTATACTATCTGAAAAAAACATTGTGCTGGGTCAACAATGGAAATGGACAGATATCAATCTGATTTGGGTTTCCAAAGAAAAGTACATAAAGAAATGGGGACACTCCCTTACAG